TAATTATCTATGAATCCTAATCATCTGGTTTAATGGATATAAATCTTTATCTGATGGGATCAATTTTTGGGCATTGCTAATGTGATGATAAATGTTATTCCCCGCACCACAATGAATGTAGGCATCATTTCCATCTGTTGAATATTTCGGTCCATCCTAGGTAAAGAAGGTGTCATTATGAACCGTTCTCGAAAGGTCCTCTTGGGTTTCGGTCAATGGCAGATTAGCCCTTCTCGATAATTGGGCATCAATTAATCCAAGATCATCAAATCCTCGTCGGGAATTAACATTAAATGTCCAATTAATTAATCAAAATATATATATAATATATTATAACACATGGTTAAACATCTATCGCAAGTCACAGCAGCTAGTTCTACAGGATTCCAACCCTTCTTCCAAACCATTCCATTCAGCTGCGCCGGCCTCCGCCGAGCGGCCGCTGCGCTCCATCGGTCGTCGGGCGTGCGACACACGCAGCGGTGCAAGAAATCATTAATTTTCTTAATTCAATGGTTTTATATAATAAATTGAATATTTCTATTGAGCTCCATTTTGGCGTTGTAAACGAGAATGAGGGAATGATATAAAGGAGATTGACGAGTATTCTTCATTGTTATCATTGGGTGCATCATCAGAATTGATGGAGGATGAATTATTAGAAAACGATTTATTAATTATATATAATAAGAAATCAATGGATCAATCATTTGCCTACATTCACGTGCATCATATTATATCCAATAATCGTCCATAACATATTCATGCCTTGCTAGGTCTCTCGCTACGTAGCTTGGTCAATTTTCGCGAATATTTCATCAAAAAATAATGCGTCATTGATAGATTTCTAGGCGTAAAGCGTAGTAACCAATGGCCGCAACAGGAGGAGGAGGAATAGTAATAGGCAGTGGTAGTGCCAATAGTAGTAATCGTCGTAATGTTAATAGTAGTAGCATTAATAATCGTAATAATCATGATAAAGCAAAAATCGATAGATATCAAACCTAGAAATTATATATATAATATAGAATATAGTAAAATCTTTGCTTTAAAAAAATCGTGAATTCGAGAAAAATATGTTCGTGTATAACAAAAAACAATGTTCAATAACACAAACCTTATATATATAATTCGTTTGTCAATCATCTCATTCATCCAATCAATCGATTAATAATTGCATTCAATGAAATCATAGTATAAATCAAAAATATATTAATCTTACAATTTTTTTATAAAAAAAGAGACCCCAAATAGTGTGTGTGAGGTCTATAAGCAGAAAGTCTAGAGATCTAGATGAGTGGGTGTGAGCGTGAGTGAGAGTGAAGGTGGGTGTGAGTGAGTGTGGGTGAGAGGGAGTGTAAGTGAGAGTGGGAGAGTGAGTGTGAGTGCGAGTGTGAGTGAGAGTGAGTGTGGGTGAGAGTGAGTGCGGGAGTAGGTGAGCGTGAGTGAGAGTGAAGGTGGGCGTGAGTAAGCGTGGGTGAGAGTGAGTGTGGGTGAGAGTGAAGGTGAGTGTGAGTGAGATTGAAGGTGGGTGAGTGAGTGTGAATGCGAGTGTGAGGAGTGTGGGTGCAAGTGGGAGTGGGAGAGTGAGTGTGTGTGAAGGAGTGCGAGTGAGAGTGGGTGTGGGTGGGAGTGAGTGTGGAAATGAGAATGGAAAAATGAAATATGAATATTTGAAAACATTAAATGATATATCTATTCTGAATTTTATATTTCTTACAAAAATATGCATTTTGAGATTTACTAAGCGCACGACATTTTTATTTCGATATAAATATTATATTTGGGACGAGATCTTTCGAGGTTTACTAATAAGCGTTGTTGTTGCTATTAAATTTGCATTTGCTTACGAAAGCTAGTAACAACTAGCTGGAATTGTCCTTGTTTTAGTAGATGAGGGGCTGGAATGCTCGAGATCCCCGCATTACGTAAAAATTTCATATATAGAGGGGGAGCCCCCCGCGGATTCAACTCCCCCCTAGGACCTCTCTTATGGCATCTATTTTGGTTCAACTCCTTCGTGGAGATTTTGGAATCCAATGCAACAGATTCATAAACTAAAATTGGTTATATCATTGCTATTCATTTGGTTTACAAATATTTTATCTCATGAACGAGACCTTATAAATCATCCCTCCAACAATCCCATGCCTATTAAAAAAAAACAAAATATTTACCTCATTCCATTTGATATCCCACCAATCCTTTATTATTAGACGGTGTATGTTTCGCCGCCACTAACACGGATATATCCCTGGTAATTTTCGTCACCTACCCTCGGCCTCAAATTTACTAATTATTCTATGATGTTTTATGTATTACAAAATCTGCATTGTGAAAATCATAAAATTCGAAATACGTATGCTACGAAGATTTTAATTTTGAGATGTATCAATCGTACGAAATCTACATTTCGAAATTCATCAAATGCGGTGCCTACCATAAAATTCCGATTATCATCATGTCCAAAATGCTATGCCTGCCACGAAGATTGCATCGAAATAAAACAATCCTAATTTCTTATAACCTATTCCTTAAAAAAAAAAAAAACCTAAAATATCAAAATACGAGATTTCCTTAAATCTACCACAAAAATTAATCACGGCACCACAACGAAATTATAATCGTTAAAAATACCCGTCACGAATCCCCAAATTCTAAAAACCTACGCAATCGAAATATGCATAAATATTATCGTATAAATATTATCGATAAATATTATATATATTATATAGTTATTTACATCAATATAATTCAACATCCCCCAGAGGGGGTAGCGA